GCTGAGGAAAAAAGAAGTAATTATGTTCAAGATGAGCGTAAATATGGGAGGCGATAATGTGTTCAAGTAACTTACAGCAACGTCCCAAAAACACCATATGAGACGCCGTAGTGGAGGGCTCGGGAAGTTTGAACCACCTGGAGTTTTTTAACGTGCACCGAAATCCAAGCACACGGACCTCAAGTATTTTCGTCTCCATCGAAAATGCGGCCGCCGCAGCCAGCATTCGATCCCGCGACCTGTGGGTCAGCTGCCGAGTGCCTTAGGCACTAGTCCACCGCGGTGAGTATCGTTCTCCTCATCTTGTGTCTTGAGTGCGCATAGATGCTTTAAGGTGTGCCGTTTATGCCTTGAAGAACATATTCCACTGAACTCCTGCCTTATTTAGGTTGTGCCGCGCTTACATTAATTACTGCTACTCTATTGCATTAATAGATAACAGATTAAGGATCTGTTATGTTGCTGTAATCAGTCTTGTATTAAACTATGTATGCGAACTTTTGAGCTTAAATCTCTGTTCGCACTTACTTTCTTTCGAATAAAAACATTTCGTTATTTCACGAGTTATGCATGAAGTTCGATGTAGCCACCTGGACACCGCGTTTTTATTATAAGTAAACAAAAAAATGTCTTCGCAGCTAAGGGGCCATTCTTGCAAATTATCATGACAAAAGCTATCTAATCTGCTACGAAGAAGTTCCAATGTACTGCCGTATCAATAGTCTCATGCGAAGGCTGTGACTATTTTTATATTGGCGGTAAACCTGATTAAAAAGGTTAGCTTGGAAAGCTGGAAATAGAAGAGGGGACGGCGTTAGTGCATAGAAATGAAGTGCTCTTCAAGCATTTCACAATAGAAAGCTTTATTGTGCGCAACCTATGTAATTGAACGCTACTTGAAGAACAAAAAAAAAGTTAAGTGAAGATATGTATTCCACGTCATGTCATAAAATCAAATCAGCTATACACGAAAAAAAAAAGGTTTGACTGTGGTAGCGATAAAAAAAATTCTCATTGCGGTTGATTCCCAGGACAGATATGCAGATTGGATCACCCAAAAAAAATCTGGGCCTCTACGATACGCATCGGCTGGCAGGGCCTGATTTTCATCATTTTCTGTTGTGTTCTTAATTGTGCGGGTTCTCAATATATCTTTTTCCAACACTTTCGTTTTTTTTTTGTTCAGTTTGCAAGAACAAAAGACTCGTTTGCCTCGGTGTTCGCGATGGGCTTTTCTCGGCTTTCCGTTCATTCCGGTTTGAATTAAAATGGAAATGACGCGTGGGTCCCCATCACGGTACGGCCTCTGCATTCCTATACTTCTGAGCGGCGCTTCAGGTCCAATTTTTCATCAATCTAGCGCGTGCTCTTGTTTCATCCACGCTCCTATATAACACGACATTGCTAATGCCCTCGAAGTCCATAGAGCTTAGAAAAGGGAGAGGTAAAAGCCAGAGGGCGGGGGGGGGGGGGGGGGGCGAGAGAGTGAGGGAGCCGAATGTGCCGTTGGGCTTATAGAAAGAACATCCAGAGCGTGGTTTTGCTCAATTGAGAACGCGTATTGTGAGGGCTGGCCACTGTGCATAATGTCTTCTCAGTGATAATATGGTTACGTCTAACGTGCAAGCTTTTAAAAATCTGGAAACAAACATTTAAACGCAAAGGTTCCAAGATACTTTGGAAATGGTGGCTTCACTAAAGACACACACAACGCCCTCCCGTCAGATGTTAACTGGTATCGAGATATCACGGTGCTGGTGCATCGTGTCAAGACTGCGATCTCTCTAAACCATTCGTTGTGTTGTTTTTTAAAGATAGTCACTAGCTACTTGAATTAGGCACCAAAGCTACGCAAGCGCAGCCGCCAAGTATACATGCTACAATTCTGGTTGGCTTCCCTGTCTTTCTCTCAACTTCTTGCCTTTCTCTATCTATACATAAATGCGCTGACTTCGCTATGCGAAAGAACAGTTATTCTGGTAGAGATATTATATGCCGATCATAACTACCATTATGAGCAAATTTAAGCGGTAAGGAAATAAACACGAATGCACTAAACAGAGCTGATATGGACGAGCGCTGACTTTCAGCTGGTTTTTCATTCAGAAAAGAGACATTTAAGTAGTGAAAAATTGTGAGCGCCAATCAACATGCGACTATTACCGTAAAATGATCGCTAACAAGTGACGAAATAAATAAAATTAAAAGGAAGTCCAGGCAACTTTATCTTGCGAGATCTTGAGCATGTGAAAGCCAAGCAACTTTTTTTGTGTGATAGTCACTGTAAGGCATGCTGATGTTTTTCTCCCCCAAACATGCGATACGGGGCGCCTCTACAATTTTTGCGAGCACATTTTTGTTTTTGCAGACCACTTCTTTTTGATTGTAGGCAAGGCAGGCAGCCACACTCCTTAAATGTGAACTCAAGTGTTGGGAGTTTGATGGTTTGTGAATTCGTGTTTATCCTCACTCTGTTAAAATTTTCTTGACGATGAATTACGAACTCGCGACGCTATTTAAATGCAGTTTTAAGGCAAAAGCCTGTTTCGTTGAGCAGAGGCCTCGAGTGATAAAGCGTTCAGGAAAATAAACGAAAAAAAAAGTGCTGCAGAAACCCACGTCACCTTATTCGTGTAGGTGGCCTGTATCGAAGGAAAAGCTTGCTGTGACGTCACCGTGGGACGTCACGGGGGCCTGAGTTCGCGACGTCAGTTTTCTCCCACCGTTTTTTTTTTTTTTTTTCGTAGAGCTACCAGTCTTTCACGTCATGGACGCACAATCTGGTGGCGCAGACGACGTGAAGGCAGTACAATCACGTGGTGATTAACCTGCTTCGGTTTGATGATGACGATGCTGGAACGTTATTGGGCCTCTGTGTATCAATAGGGAAATAACCAGCGTGCGATGTACAGATTACCTTAACGTGACATTACAAAGTTAACGTGCCACCATGTGGGTGCTCCAGCGTGGCTGCTTCAGCGACGTCAGCGCAAACCATCTGTTTCTCTTTCAGGTAGGGCCACGTAGTGCGACAACTTGGGTTTGTTGGCACGGTTGCCGTAAAATAATACAACGCAAATGAGGCGAAGGCGTTTGCGTTGTCGCACCTCTTCTATTCCCCGTCTCGTTAGTTAATGTATGGATGTTGCTTTGTTCGCTTATATAATGCGATGTTTGGTTTCATAAGTCGCTGCATCCTTTTTTTTTTCCCCCGCAGGTTGCGAGACGACGGCGGCAGCGTTAGGGACCGGAACTTTTCGTCCTACGATGGAAGCCGGCTCAAGGATTCGGTCGCTTTTGTCAACGGTGAGGAGGACCATACGTTGTCGTGCTACACCTAACTAACGCCGATGCTTGTCTGCGTCAGAGGGAAATGTCTCTACATATACACACCTGGTTGAGCACAGGACATGCATAGTACTGTAAAGATGGTATACAGACCGGAAGATAAAAGCTGCACCTGCGAAACCTTTTTTAATGTTTCCATAAAAATAAAGGATATGGATAAGAAATAAACAGCCGCCGGAGCGGTTTCAAAAAACCCTAGCTCTCGTCATTGTGACTTGACGAGCATGTTGAGCCGTAAAGTATTTCGAATTCAGCATCGGATGCCAGCAGAAATACTGCAGCTAAGCGCATGCCCTAACACACTTCTTCGCGTTTATTTTCCACTTCTTTTGAGTGCGTCCGTACATAGAGTTTCCTAATATACACTAGACGGTACTCTGGCGCTAGTGTCTATGGGAGCTGCAACGCACGGTGCTTCAGCGAGCACGGGAATGATGGGTAGTACACACATTCGTCTAGTTTTCGTACTTCTGGTCTGCTTCTGGATCCGTGTGTGTTCGTGTGTCTTGGAGCTGTTTCTTTCACGAAAAAAAAAATTAGCAAATGTTCAGCGTTTGCGCTTCACAACCTTATTTTTCTGGCTTATCACTTTGAATCGAGTCACGAAGTTCAAAAGGATTTGTTCTTTCTTTCAAAACAAAATCGAAACACAGCATTAAACGAAGCCGAAAGTACGATTCGCCGCCCGCAAGTACGAAGACCAGGCAAATGTGTGTACTACCCATCATTCCCATGGTCGCTGAACGATCGCAGCGCCAGAGTTCCCTCTAGTTAACTTTAGAAAACTCTATGCGTCCGTATACGTAAAGCTTTTACGCGCTATCAGAAGTACGAACTAACGGCAACGAAAGCTCGCGCTGCGGCTCTCTCTACCGCAGGCGGCCTTCCAGTGTCGGAGTCCAACGGACATGGGCCTCCGGTGCTGAACCTGTCGCAACACGGCCATCGCAACAGCGCGACGCGGGACTACCACGACGGCGCGGCTGCCGACGCCGAAGACGACACCGAGGACGACACTGACGACCGTGACCCCGGTGCGTCTCGTCTCAAAACGTCTGCGAAGAAAAACGGTTTAGCGCATTTCTGAAACGTCTTAGCCGGCAAGCATAAAGAACGACGTTACAAGGGGATAGTTAAAAATGACAGAGATAAGTTCCTAACAGGAGATAAAGATGTGCGATATTCCCAGTTTTTTTCGCTCGTGCGCACAGAAGCTTGCATCAAGACCGTCAGAGAGCTCGGCATGGCTCTTAGCTGCCATCCGCGATACTGCTACCAGGTGCTTTATAATATAAATGTGGCGTATTGCACGCAATGCCTATACTGACAATTCGTCATGCTTCACTTCAATACATGCGCTGTTGCCAGTTACAAGCGAAATCAGCATGAAAAAAAGATTTGACACCGCGTTAGTGACTGCATCATCACTGTCGCCAGTGGTGGTTCTGTGTAAGTTCGTTTACGAAAATACGTACAACACCAGCGATTACTCGACTTCATTAAATATGTTGGTCCGGCTGAACCAGGCAGAGAAAGGCATAAAACTCTTATAGCTGGGACACAAGACGTCAAGCTGTGTGGTGAGAGTATGTTTAAAACCTGTTTCCCAATCGCGGCGCTTTATACAAGACTTGTGACGTGAAGCTGTGCGCATGAGGGCCGGTATTTACTGCGCATCAAAACTCGTGCAGCAGAAATGAAACACTTCGCGCTGAGTGGTCAATACATAGTCGGATAGTTATATATGTATATGCGATATATGGACCATTCGCTACCTAAACCGTGTTTTTTTTTTTAAGCCTGTACGCGAGACAACTTCGTGAACTTTCGACAATGATAAAAGCATTTTACGTATCCCGAGCGTCCTATCCACATACTGCTTGACAAAGTAGCCTGATTGAGAGTTTTCACCCAAAACAATCGGCCGTGTGGCTGCGTAACTGCACACTCAATGAACGAGCGATTCATAGTTTTATTCTTTATTTTTCAAATCGTGATATAGAGTGGCGCACTTTTCGCAACTGCACGTCTTTTACAATTTAGAGAATAAGAGTGCATGTTCGATTAATCTTTCTCTTCCTTTTTTTTTCTTTTTCGAAACGCTTTGCGCTAACAGAGCTTAGCGGGATTAATCTTTCTCTTTCTTTTTTTTTCTTTTTCGAAACGCTTTGCGCTAACAGAGCTTAGCGGCGCCGAAGGAAGCAGCAGTCCCGAGCCCCACGGTGGCGGCGGGGGTGGTGGGGGCCAGGCAGGGACAGGCATGGACGAGCGCTACGCCCTCGACGCGGCACTTGGTCTGGGCGCCGTGTCTTCGATCGAGACGCTCCTGCGCAACATACAGGGCTTGCTCAAGGTGGCCGCGGACAACGCCAGGCACCAGGACAGGCAGATCAGCATCGAAAAGGGTGAGCCTGGTCGAGATGTTTCTCCGAAGACAGGCGTGTGTTGTGGCGTAAGACCAGCGCCAGAAATGGCTCAATGAGCATTCAGAACCCAGCGCTGACTATCACCTGTCAAGTGATAGCCAGTTGATAGTCAGCACTATATCCCACGTGATAATTGTGCCATTTACTTCGCTGCTGTCCACAATACGCACGAACCAACTAACCCGCCTAGGGACCTTCGTCTAGGCAAATGTCTTACAAAATATGCGAAGCAATGAAAGTGAAACGCTCAGGTCAACATACTGTTTTTTATTGCTCAAGAGGAATCGATCCTACAGATGCAACATGGTCCGTTGCTTCCTTTCGATAAAGTATTCGCGCTTTCTAAAAAACGTGTGCTTTACACGCTAAATAAACCTCGATTCTCAGAGTACTTTGATATGCAACCTTCCTCGACTGCATCGTTTATTGTGGCACGCCACTCTCGGGTGATAAACTAAAGCTTAGTTCATTCAGTCGGTCCACAGATCAACCACTTGCTGAATCGTTGTAGAAATTGTGTGCCAATAACATGCTCACTTATTCTACTAATTTGTTAATATAGGTCGGAATAAAGTCTCAGTGCCGGATTATGAAAGAATTAAGTGATAACAACGCCCTCTATTAAGTTGAATATTATGACCACCTGACCTTAGGCAAGTAACTGATTGCGCTTTTTATGCGGTTACGATTATGAATTGCTTTGTGACACCTAAGCACGTAGTATGTATCACTCTTAACCAAGTTCCGCTTAATGCACGTGATACAGCCAGACAACAGACCATTCTTCGTCTGGTTTCCCGAATATAGCCAGTATTTAGCCGGGGCCGAATGGAGAGTTTGCGCTACAGCTGCTCACGGTGTCAAACATGCACCATCAAACCCTCCCTTTAACCATCCATCGATGGGGCATACAACCTGAACGAACGTCGTTAATATTTCAGTTGACTTGGAGAGTGCAGGATAGAACACGGACGACATGGAGGTAGACAAGGGCAGACTTAGTGTCATAGGCTTACACTGCAATATTCTAGTCCTCAATGCTCTTTCTTTTATTAGCTTTCAGTTGTTCCGCAGGAGGAACAACTATCTTTATCTTGAATTATGATGACAGAGGGTGTGGTGTGACTAATGGCGAGCACGTTCGTCGAGCGGTCAGAGCTGAACGGGTCACGTTTCTTGAAACTTTCACAAGACGGTGACACGCTGGGGTCTCTCCTTACTGTAGGGGGTTTAGGGTTGGCGATACACGTCCGCCCTTACAAGACGCGTCGTGCCTACGAGATATCACGTTTCCCGGTGTCCCTTTGAGGGGGGGGGGGGGGCTGAAAGAAAAAGTGTCGAGGACAAGGAATTAAGCGCGCACAGGGCACAAGTCGTGGCCCTTCATCTTTCGTTTCTCTCTTTAGACCCCTCCACTCGGTCTGCGGGATTTAGCACCACGTTTCCGCCAATAAAGCCACGATTTGCATACTGCATAAAGTGTGACGGGCACACGCTTCACACGACGAAAGTCCGTGCCTCTTGCGAGCAGAGCGTCGTCTAATGACCGCTCTCCCGCGCGACCTCTTAATTCTCGCGTCGCTCTCCGAAACCCCCCCCCCCCCCCCCCCTCTTTTTTTTTTGACGTGCTGTTCTTGTTCCTCAGACCTTCTTTCTTCTTTTCAGCTGTTATGTGACCACTTTTTTAATTTCTTGTTTTATTCTCACTTTATGCTCTTCTAGCGGGGCTACAGCATGTGCCGCTTTCTTTTCCTTTTTAGAAATTCCAAAAGTGTGCTCGCTGAAAGAAACCGGCAGCATTACGCCATACTGGGGTATCCCACGCGCAACCAAAAATTAAAAGAAAATGACAAATCTTCCTGCTTTGTCTGCACATTTCACACTGGCCCTCGTCCTTCGGGCGTTCTATTCCGCTTCGTGACAGCTACGCAGCAACCTACGCTAAGTCTCATATTTACGTTCTATCGTGTTTGGCTTTCTTTCTCTCTCTCTCTCTCTCTCTCTTTTGTACAATGTTCTATTCTCCGTTCTCGTTTTCATTTTATCTGGTCTTTTTTTTTCTTTTTTTCCTCTTCAATTCATGGTTTGGCCGTGTCAAGAAGTCAGAGCACTCAGTGCAGCTCGCGGATACGCCGGAAATGACGTGGGGCGAATTTACGAGCCACTGCGGGGGGTGAATCCGGTGGTGGTCTTCCGGAAATGAAATGGGCTTAGGCCACGCTCTGTCCCCCCGACGCGACCGCTATTTGTCGCGTCACTTCCGGTGTCAATCACTGTTTCGCCTACCCCTTGTTTCGGACCTCTGTGTCTGCTGTTAGCGACGCGTATATATATTATACAGTCCTCCTAAATGCTCTCAATGTCAGCGTGTTTGTGGACCACTGTCATGGTTTCTGTTTTAGTGTGTTATTTTAATGTAGGGCTCTTCGTTGGAAAGCTCGACATTTGGTCTGTTCTTCGCCGGGGAGTTGGAGTTTGAAGCTTGAGGAAGCTCTTTTCTTATTCGTTTTCAAGAAGGTTTGATGTATGTCTGAACTCCTAAAGCTTGTGCTGTAAGGCCATCTGTTGTTCCTTAGAACATGCTGCGTAGAACTAACAAACGCTCCCCCGAAAAGGGGAGCGTTTGTGCGTAGATGTTTTGGTTGGGCTTCAATTAAACATTGCATTATAATAATAACTGCTGAACACTTACGTCCCATAACCATAGTATGATTATGAGAGACGCCGTAGTGGAGATGCTCCGGAGATTTCGACCACTCGGGGTTCTTTGACGTGGACCTAAATGTGTGCACATTGACCTCTATTGTTTTGCTTCAAAATAAATGCGGCTACAGCGACCGGCATTCGATCCCGCGACCTTTGTTTTAGCAGCCGGGCACCATGACCACTAGACCGCCGTGGCGGCTGACAACGAATAAGTGAACACGGCTATGCGTTCCACATTGCTGTGGTGCATGAGTTGAGGCGTCACTTGCGTCTGAAACACGGAGAAGTTTGTTAAAACGCGCTATTGGGCTAGTTGGTGCGTGGTGTAATAAAAAAAAAAAATGGGATGCACAAAGAAACTAGGACAGGAAATGACAGGGCTGGTGTCATTTTTTTTTTAACAGAGAAATTATTTTCGACCAACTTCTCGTGCGTTTTCAGCATCCTGAATACCAAGGTACAGAAAGAAAGGGCGTCACGGTATATAAAAAAAATTCACACTGTTTAGATATTAGTGAAAGCATTCAGCGTTCTATTTTGAATGTGGAGAGATTCTTACCCGACCGCTTCCGGCCTTTTCGCTTCCTTACGGAAGACGACGAAGGCCTGCTTTCGATCAACCGGAACAGTGCGCTTTTTTCTTTTACCAGAGGCTCTTCTGTAGCGTCTGTTTGGGAGCCACTCCCAATACGGTCAGCGCCCAGCAATGGTGGAGCGTTTCTTCATTGCACGAGACGTGCAACATGATCCTCTCCTGAAACCTCAAGTCCCGTTAACCCTGGCCTCCTTTATTCGTCCTATCCATGTCCTCTCAAGGCGTACAGTCGGCCAGAACTTTAGCCAATGTGCGCGGCGGCCACTTTTTTGTCTGTGAGCACCACATTACGGCACGAAGTTAAAAAAAAAGTTGCTTCGTTGACATGTGTTTCGTGGGCATACACTTGTCCCGCTGAAACTTAATTCGGTTGCATGGTAAAGATTCACCGAAAAAAAAAAACTACCCCTCATGCACAATAAAGATTTCACCGACTGTACGTACTGCTCTTTCTTCTGTACCCTTTCTATCTTACTGTCACCCAGAGCGGTATGCCGACACGGCATTTCTCCTTTTTCACTGCTTACTTATTCACTGTTTATGGCTTCTCGACACGTAAGAATGCTCCCTGCTGTGAAGTTGCCAAATCGTACGTATAATCCCGGGATACTAATAAATTCTACTTGTAGGAGTGGCTGTAGCCTCCGAAACGTTTTAGACCGTTAGACTAGCGTAACAGAAGGCAACATTGGAAATGAATTGATAGATAGATAGATTCATTGATTGATTGATTTGATTTGATTGATATGTGAGGTATGTGAGACGTGAGACGCCGCAGTGAAGGGCTTCGAAAATTTCGACCAGCTGGGGTTCTTTAACGTGTACCTAAATCTGAGCACACGGGCCTACAGCATTTCGACCTCCATCGGAAATACAGCCACCGCAGCTCGGATCCCGCGACCTGCGGATCAGTTAGCCGAGTACCTTAGCCACTAGACCATCGCGGCGGGGCAACAACGGAAATGAAGTCTAGCACACTATTTCAAAACGCCAGACCACGCAATGCACAACACACAGTATCCCGCACTGGCCTGGAGCCTTTGTGTGCTGTTGGTCCTGGATGCATTGCAGCACTGAGCGGCACTTTATAGGTGAGATGCCCGCCAAGCAGGCGCACCAAACTGCGAACTTGGAAAACTTTTTGGGGGGGTGGGAAATGAGGGTACATCTTTCTCTTGGTATTTTATACAGGTGCATATAAAAACATACATTTAATGACACTCATTATAAGTTGCAACACCGTAGCCATGGTTGAAGGGGCACCAAGCCTATACGGCAGCACCTGCAAAGCTGGTCTCGGTGATACCAGAGGTTGAATCGGCGTTTACGTCACTCAATGCTTACTATTTTGGAGCTGCCGTGCAGCCTTGGCTACAGTTTGACCACGCGCAGCATTTTCAACTTATAATAATTGGGCGCGACTGTACACGCATGTAGATATCACGGTCGCTCCATTCACTGGAAATAAAATCACAGCTGCGCCCCCCCCCCCCCCCACCACATGAACATTGCCACGTTCCGCGCACGCTCAGGCCCCTTCAGTAATCTATTCAAAACATGATACTCAACTGTTGGTATATATTCAACGCAGAACCAGAGTTCTGACTCGTTCGTCGCATTGTCCGTGGTGATCCTTACAGATCGTGAAAGCCTCGTACACCCGCGGTGTAGCCACGAA